ATGTTGCTCCCCGTTTTCAAAATCAAAACCATCACTTGTAAACTGTTAATATAACCCACCCTTTGGTGACCCTGCAGCGACATGAGAGAAAGATTGGCTAGTGTCCTTGACCCTTGGTACCCCCGCGGCGTCATTATGGGCCCCAGCTAATTCAACCACGCTAGGACAATCTCCCTAGTTCCCTCTAGGCTATATTAACCTTCCGGCCCTTTGGTACCCCCGCGGCGACCGGGTTTTCACAAAACCGATTCATTAAAATACTTTCCCAAAATTCTCTTTTTCTTTTCAAAACGATTTCTTCCCTTTCATGCCCAATGCCAGTGCATGATTGCATCAATGCTACGTCCATGCTCATAATCCCACGACTAGTTCAAATTTAACTAACAAGGCATGGTTCACAAAAATTCTCAAAGGATTTACCACATAACGACATATAACAAGATTCTAGCATTTTTGGCATATGAAAATCAACACATAAACATGCTCTTTACATAAAGCATTTAATCCACATAGTTCCATGGTTATCATATAAGCAAGCTTTTCATACAACATATTTAACACACATTCTCACATGTTCATATATCTCAATCAAGTCAATTTAAACTATAATTAACATAATTAAGCATTCTAAGACACAAATCAAGTAGATCAACTCACTAAAGCACAAGATTTCATGGATTAAGGGCCCCTACCTCAATATTGGACAAAACCCTTGAAATGGGTTCCAAATTTCAAAATCCAAGGAGGGCACCAAAGCTGAAATTTCTGGTACTAGTGCGTAGAGCTCATCGTGCTCTTCGTTTTGCCTCAAACGGCACTTAAATCCGGCAAGAATTGAGAGAGAAATCTTGTTTCAAAGATTGAAACTCAAAAGAAAGAAAAAAAGAAAACTCTTGAAGGGGAGAGAGAGGTTCCAGCGGGAGTGAAGAGGGAAGGAAGAAAATGAGGCTTAAAACATGCATGTGGGTCCTACCATTTTTGAATTTCTTTTCCATTTTTCTTTTACTCCAATTTCTATACCACACATATATAATGCAACACATAAAATACCACTTACTCCACATAAATTAAAATGCACAAAATGCAATGGACCCAACTAAAAACCCGTACACAAGATGTGTAAAGACCGAAATACCCTTGCATCAACGAATTACCGGAAAAATGAAAAATGTAAAAAATTGGAAATGTCACAAGAAGCCATGAAAAAGAGTCACCGAGACTATGTAACTTTCAATACTTGTGATTGGGAGTCTATTTGTCTTGGAGACTCGTTTTATGGTATCTGCTTACAATATCATAAGGTTACATTAATTATGCATTCTTTTTCTTTTTAGTCGATGTGGGACAAAAAATAGAGTTTACATTTGTGGTAATTATTGCAAAGAATGTCTGCTGGTACTAAGGCTTTAAACCCAATTCATGCTGGGCCGTTTTTACTACCAGTGGGCCCACCTTGCAATATGCTTGACTACTTTAACTGTTCCTTATATAAAAAAAAAATGTTTAAAGTTACTTTTTACTGATGTGGGACAAAAAGTAAAATTTTTCTTTTTCATAATATCGTAATAACAATAGTAGGTCAATAGTAGGGTATATTTGCCCCCTATGACGAAAAAGAAAATACTAATGAATGATATCCTATATCGAATAACAAAGAATCAACAAACATTAACTTATTTATGGGGATTGAAGTGCCACTTGTTGCAATGATGATCGTTGGATATAGGGGTCTGTTAAGCGTTCGTGTATCTAACGCTCGTCTACATCATGAGTTTATCAAAAAGGATGTAATAAGATGTAGAGAATAAGAAACTTTATTACGTGGCCCATAAACAGCCTTATTTGCATAATGTAAAAAAATGAACCAAATTGCTTAATGATAGTACCTTTTCAGGTGTATGGCATTCCATGGGTGCGCAATTACTTGCCCATCAGCTTCGGTTAGCCAGTAAGCTCCTTTCCCTACCACTTCTGTGACTCTGTAGGGTTCGGTCTAATTGGGTTGCAATTTCTTCACATGTGCCATTTCTTGCTTCAACACCCAATCGCCTACTATAAAGCTTCTGAACCTGACTCGCTTGTTATAATTGTTACGCAATTGTTGTTGGTATGAAGTGAGCCTAATTACTGCAACATCCCTCTTCTCCTCCAAGAGGTCAAGGCTATGCTCCAGCTGTTTATCATTATTTCTTTCGAGCAACAAATGTGGCCGAAGAGTTGAGATTGCTGATTCAGTGGGGATGATAGCTTCGGACACATAGGCCATTGCAAAGGGGCTTTCCCCCATTGGCCATTGTGGGGTGGTTCGGTATGCCCAGAGTACCTTGGGCAGATTCTTGTACCACTTTGATTTGAGCTGCTCCAACTTTTTCTTCAGACAAATGAAGATGGTTTGGTTGGTTATTTTGACTTGCCCATTCCCTTGTGGATGACTAACCGCGGCCAACTTCTGCATAATTCCATGCTCGGCAAAGAATTTCCATGTGCTTCTGTTATCCAGATTCTTACCGTTGTCCATCATGATGACCTTTGGCACTCCAAATTGGCAGATTATATTGTTCCATAGAAAACTCTTTACTTGCTCATGAGTCACACTTGAATAAGCTTCTGCCTCTACCCACTTTGTGAAGTAATCCATGGCTAGTAACGCATATTCCTTTTACTCCACAACTTTGGGTAAGGGTCTGACCATATTGATCCCCCATTGTGCAAATGGCCATGGATTTGCTATTGCGTGCAAATCTTTAGTAGGCTGATGCTTCATTGGGCTATGTCGCTGGCACTTGTCGCATCTCCTGGCATATTCTTCAGCGTTCTGAGCCAGGTATGGCCAGAAGTAGCCTTAAATTAGAACCTTATGTGCGAGGGATCTGCCGCCGAAGTGGTTACCACAATCTCCGTCATGAATTTGCTTTAGTACTGTGAGGGCCTCAGCAGAGCTTAAGCACTTCAGGCAAGGACCTGAGAATGATTTCCTGTACAGTTGATTATTAATAATAGAGTATTTGGCTGCGATAAACCTTACTTTCCTTGCCTTGGCTTTTTGGTTTGGAAGAGTTCCATGCTTAAGGTAAGCTTCCAACGGGTCCATCTAGCATGGTTCTCGTGGAATGTCCGGGATCACCATTATCTCTTGCCGAGGACACATACTAGGTTTATCCAAGATATCTATCAGCACTATCCGGACCAAATCTTCATCTGAGGAAGATGCCACTGTGGCCAATTGATTTGCTTCGGAGTTCTCTTCTTAAGGTACTTGGTGGAATTCAATTTGATCGAATATACATGCAGCACTCTATACAGCCTCTTTGTATGCTTTCATTCTTTTTTCTTTAGGCTGGTACTTTCCTATCACCTGATTCACAATGAGTTGTGAGTCACTAAAAACTTTTAGATATTTTACCTGAAGTTGGTCTGCCAACCGAAGTCCAGCTACCAAGGCCTCATACTCGGCCTCATTGTTTGTGGCAGGAAAATTCAAGCAGATTGATTTCTGCAACTTGGTTCCTTCAGGGGTTACAATAATGACCCCAGCTCCAGCACTGGTTTGGTTCGAGGAACCATCTACCTGAAGCTCCCATTGTGGTTCGAGAAACTCGGGTTCTTTAGGCTTTCTTCATACTCTAAAAAGAAATCAGCCAGTGTATGTCCCTTGTGTGACACCTTTAGTTCATAAGCTATATTGAAGGAACTAAGTTCGATTGCCCATTTGGTGATCCTTCTGGACAGATCTGGCTTGGAAAGAATGGTTTGCATAGGATAATTGGTGAGGACCATTTGGTGAGACTTGAAATAGTGGTGCCGAAGCTTTCTTTTCGCATATACTGAGGCTAATGTAATCTTCTCTGCTTTGTTATACCGTGTCTCAGCATCAGTCATCGTCTTACTTGTGTAAAAGACTACGTATTGATTCTTTCCTTTTCTCGGATTAGTACGGCACGAGTAGCTATACTGAAGATTGCTAAGTACATGATGAGGGCTTCACCGGGCTTCAGAACAGATAAGATTGGTAGTTTAGCCATGTAATACTTTAACCGATTAAGTGCTTCCTGCTATTGAGGTCCCTATAAATCCTTATTCTTCGATCTTATGGCATCAAAGAATGGCTTACACTTATCTGACAACCGGAATATAAAGCGGCTAAGAGCTGCGATTCGGCGGGTCAGAACCTGCACTTCCCTGTGAGTTTTTGGTTCCTGATTCTGTATGAGGGCCTGAGCTTGAGCCAGGCTTACTTCTATTCCTCCAAGTTGACAATATGGCTGAGGAATTGCCCTAAAGAGACCGCAAAAGAACACTTGGATGGATTCAGCTTCATATTATACTTTGTCAAAGGGTCAAAGACTTCTTGGAAGTGCTTAAGATGATCCTCCTTCTTTACACTTTTAATCACTATGTCATCGATGTAGGCTTCGACTGTTTTTCTCAACATCTCGTCAAAGATCTTGTTAACGAGACATTGGTAAGTTGCCCCAGCATTTTAAGTCTGAAGGGCATGACTTTGTAACAATAAATGGAAAACTATCCTTAGGGCAAGCCTCGTTGAGATTGGTAAAATCTATACAAACCCTCAATTTTCCATTCTTCTTTTGAACCACTACTACGTTCGAGAGCCATTGTGGGTAATGCACTTCTCGAATGAAACCTGCTTGAAGCAACTTGCCTACTTCTTCAGCAATGATCTAATTACGCTCAGGAGCGAACCTTCTATGTCTTTGCTTAACTGGCTTGAAAGAAGGATCCACCTTCAAGTTATGGCTCGAGATCGAGGGGCTGACTCCCAGCATATCCGAATGATCCCAAACAAACGCGTCTGCATTCCTTCGGATGACATCAATTAATACTCTCTTCTCTTCTGCTGTGGGGGAAGAGCCTATATAAGTGATTTTTCGGGGATCACCGAGGATAACTTCGACTGTTTCGAGAGATTCCTCGGCGCGTTTTGTAGCTTCAATTTCCTCCTCTACTTCTAAGAACTTAGGCAGAGGACTCTGTAATTGCTATTTGGGAATATCTTCGAGGGTCACATCTGGCTTGGACTGCCTGATCCTCTTTTTTGCCTCATTCACTGTCAGCATGTAGCACTCTTTTGCAGCGACTTGATCTCCCCAGAGGTTAATAACCTCTTTTCTGTCTGGAGACAAGCATCGCATCACCTGATAAAAGGTGGACGGGACTCCATTCATTCGGTGGATCCAACCTCTTCCCATAATAAGATTATAGGAATGATGTATTTCAGTCAAAACAAAGTTTTCCTTTAATGTCCTTTTTGCAGCAGTGATAGATAAATCAATTACTCTAATGGGGTCTACCGTTGTGCCATCAAACCCCATCAAAGGGCTAGAGTTAGGCCGAATTGGTGATGAAGGGATCTCATATGATACCCCTCGGATCCGAGACACGGGTTGATCAGGCCCAGGCCCAAACCCGAGGGAATATCAAATAATTAATATTTAAAAACGAACATGTAGTATAAAAATAAATTTGAGAAATGAAAATTAAGCTGAAAGAAACTAAATTAAAAATCCTCGAATTAAAATTATTAAAATCCAATACTCCAAAACTTTATAAGTTTAACAACTCGGGAATCCATTCAGTAGACCCCTTATTTAAAATCCTAATAGAAACTGAAATATCAGAAATAGAATCTAAAGCTAAACATAGAAAGGATTCATACGTAGTCGGAGGAATGAATGTCTGTATCTGCACTGTACATCCAAGCTCTAACCCTGGAACTGACGAACACCTGAAAAATAAGAGAGTGGGTCAGGCCCACATGCAAGTTCTATTCTACTACGATCCATACAGTAATCCGATACGCAAATACATCCTAGATAGCCCAACAATATCTAGAGTAGTCCATATGTATATATAATACACACTATAGGACGTTCGCTAGTCCAATAGGTCAGTCTCAGCCTGAGTAGAGATACCATGCAAATCGCACATAATGTGGTCATGTGTACCTAGACCTACCAGGGAACAACACCTATATCCAGTTATCCATCCTAGGCGATATACGCGCCCTAACCATGGTCCTGAGACTCAAGCTCATACCATGGCACCATATAATAAATATATAAAGTCCGTACTCCTCTTAATACAAAATACCATCCATCTATATAGTGGTCTGATATATGTATAATCATCCGTCCTGAAACCATATTAAGTCATTCAACTATTTTGTTGACATGACACAAGTAGGTGATGGACTTAACCTATATGGTTAATCCGCACCTTAATCCAAATTAAGTAAGACTTAGTGTTTGAACTAGTCCATACCTAGTATGTCACCGTCCCATACCGGTATATACAATCCTCCAATTAACAAAGTTGACAAAATAGTAATAGATACTTATCAACCATACTCCAGAATTAGCATAAATATTGTCTAACATGTGTATGAAAAATTATACATCCAACATAAGATTTAGAAATCCTATTCTAGTTTTTTATATAAATGAAGTAAGACTACACATTTAACTCTTCCAAACAGTACCATAATTGATGCAAACAAACAGTAGAAATAAACATCAATTAATTCCATCTAAGCATACTTATTTTTCCAGATAAATAACTATATGCTTATAACACAACTGAGACATGATTAACAATATTAAATCATGCGAAGAAACCAAATTGCTTTAGAAAAACAGTAAGCAGTTTCAATTGATTATCCAACTTCCCACATACAGGTTTATTGTTTAACCTTCTAATTTTTCATGCTTTAAAATATTAGCATTAACATGCTTTTTAAGAGTTTTTACAAGTCTATAACGGGTCTATTCTTCATTCACAGCATCTGGAAACACTTAGAACCAACCCCTACTGTCCAAACCAAACCCATAACACGGAAAAACCAAGAAAATAGGATAGAGCCGCCTCCTAAAACAAAGGAGCCAGCTCTCCCCTTGGTGGAGCCGCCTCCACTTCATGTGGAGCCGGCTCTACCCCTTGTAGAGCCGGCTCTCCAAGCCATAGAGCCAACTCCCTCTTTTGGTGAGCCGTCTCTCCTCATTTGAGAGTCATATACCCTAACCTGTTCGTCTTCTTCGCCTCCGGCGAAGTTCAGAGTCACTGTACAGTTTTTATAACTTATTTTAGGGTACAATTGATGTCTTAGAATTAATTATAAGTATGCATCCAATCCCATATATGTAATACCCCTAATTTTAAAAGGATAGTCTCGGCATTTATTTATTATTTTTATTGTATTTTTGCATGATTATTTGGTTTAATTATTTTATTTAATTGTTTACCTGTGTGACGTGTATTTAATTGGTATCTATTTCTTTGTTTAAATTGCATTCTATTTATTTAATTGATTATTCGTGTATTTAATTGGTATCTATTTATTTGTTTAAATTGCATTCTATTTATTTAATTGATTATTAAAGGTTTTAATTTAGGAAGTAATTTAGGAAGTATTTTAATTAACGATTTTTCAAAATTGAGGGTTTAGTTTCTTTAGCCGACACAGGATTTAATTAAGTTCTATGGGCCGGTTAGGATTTAGTTAGGGCTCTAATTAATGTAGGGTTTGGGTATAACTCTATAAATATATGGGTATACGTCTGTCGAGGGTTTCTAAAACCCTATTCACCATATTCCCGTATACAGTAAAGAGAGAAGTTGAGAGAACAGAGCGTCGTAACGGTCTGTCAAGGAGAATAACAGAGAGGACCAAGGGAGGTGTTTGGTGGATTAGATCAGAACCAGAGGAGGCTAGAAGGTAGTCAGTGGTTGCCGGAAAGCTTAGAACAACGGCGTCAAGGTTCTTTTATAAAACTATACAGGCAAGTTCTTCTCTTTCTCCTTCCCTTTGGCTTGTGTTCTGTGCACCTAGACAGTCTCTAGGAGATTAATTGGCCTTAAACTGAACCATGCATGTTTGACATATGATTTGCTTGATCGTTTTATCTGTGTAAAATTTATTTACAAAATAATTATAGCGCGTATGTTTTCTTGACTCTGTTTTGGCATAACGTCCCACTGTTCTAATTTTTATTTTGAATCTTACTGAAATCAACCAAGGTCTGACTGGATACTAGACGTAAATTAAGACTTCAAATTTAAATTGGAGAAAGAACAGAGGGGTTGGGATAAAACTGATCTTGCAATTTAGTTTCAGTGCCGTTCTTCAACAACGCTAGTTTAAATGGCCTGATTAAACTCTGTAATTGCTTTCAAAACTATTGTAAACAATCTTGGGGAATGCTTCTAGACTAAATTACGAGTCCTAAGATTAGTTCAGAGACTAATAGAGGGTTAGGAATAAGCCGGAGAAGGAGCACAAGAGCTGAAACGACGCACCGGGGACGAAGGCTCCCTTGGTATTTTTGATTTATTTTATGTTTTTTTTAATTTTCTACATACTATGTTCACTGTTGGAGCATGGAGACTGTTTGAATGAATTTGGAACTTTACAGAGGGATCAAGGAATGAATTTTGAGTGTTAGTAAGACCCTAAATTGAGTAAAGTTTAATTTTAAGTTGTCGGGACAAACAGTGTAAAAATTAAGGCACTTAACAAATGGAATTGAATTAATTGTTGAATTAAAATTAAGCAATTTAATGGAACATAATGTGTTTATAAAACTTGTTTTAGAATGCATTCAAGTGCATGATAGGGTCATTTAATTATTAATTTTGATCTATGCATGCTTAGGAGGCTAGTTGCGGAATTATTAAATTGTTTACTGCAACTATATGGCTAATGCTTGGATTTAAACTGCTGAAATATTTAAACAATCTTCTGAATTGTTTTAGCAATTTATTGGTTAATAATAGGATTATTTAACCTATTCACATGCATGATGGAGTCCCTGACATATTAAATTTGGTCTATGCATGCTCTGGATGTTAGTTGTTGATTTGTTAAAATCGTCTCCTACAACTATATGGTTAAATGATTGGATTTAAATTGCTGAAGCTTTAAATAGTTTTCTGCAATTGTTTGGATGGTAGTTTTTGGTCTGTAAATTATTGAACTGTTATATATGTTGTAATTTACATGGATATGGAGGATGGTATGTACCGGTATGGGACGGTGACATACTAGGGACGGTTTAGCTCAAAACGCATAAACCTAACCTAATGGATTAATGGAATGGATTGAAAGATATCGAATCCTAATTGTGGCTAAGTCAGATCAGCTGTAACCAAGTTGGATGACTTCCTGGATTAACGGATGGTAGTTAAGTCATATCAACTGAATAAGTGGAGTGACTAACTAGTTGGTTTATTGTAGGTCAGTTTAATAAATAGTTGAACTGCTTACCCTGGATGTGGACGGACTTTATATATATGTTTATGGTACCACGAGTTGAGCTTGAGTCTCAGACTCGTTGGTTAGGGTGCGTATATGCAGTGGATGCGTAGCTGGATATAATAGGTTGAGGTGTACCCTGTTAGGTCTAGGTACTCATGCCCACCTTTGGGTGCGTATTCGCATGTTGCCTTCTATTCAGGTTGAGACCCCTATTATAGACTGGTGAATGTCCCTTAGTGTGGATATATTTATACGTATGGACTAGATAGATATTGTGAGGTGTCTACGGTGTATCTGCGTATCGGGTCACTATATGGATTGCAGTTAGATTAGAACTTGCTCGTGGGTCTGACCCACTCCTTTATTATTCTTTTCAGGTACAGGACGGTTCCAACTTTAGAGCTTGATCGTGCTTGTCGAAGACAGCCTCACCTTCATCTGATTACGTAGGACTTCTCTCGATATTTCTAGCATTATCTATTTTCAATTTTCAGTTTCAGTTGAACTTTTGGTTAGGGGTCCATCAGTGGATTCCCAAGTTATAACCTTGAAGTTTTGGAGGATTGGAGTTTCATTTTTCAGTTGTCCATGGAGGATTTTATAATTAATGTTTCTTTCAGTTTTATTCCATCACTTTTGTTTCATTTTGTCATCTGTGTTCGCTTTAAAATACTTTAATTATTTGATATTCCCTCTGGTTTGGGCCTGGGCCTGATCAACCCGTGTCTCGGATCCGAGGGGTATCACAATATACACTAAGGTTAAGCAAGATTAAAACCAATACAAATAGATTCTTAAGTGAGAACAACTTTCAACACAAAAACAGATTTATGCAACGATTTAAAAGTTGATTCAAACATGCTTACAAGATTAATATTAACTTCAATTTAATCTATTTTAATGCTTGATTAATCCCTGGAGTCTAACTAGGCATGCACAGAACACGAATTAAAGGGAAGGAATAGAACAACGACTTGCCTTGAGTTTCAGTTTTGAAACTCTAAACCACCGTCTCTGAAGCTTCTGTCCACGTCCGAGACTCCTGTTCTACACCTCTAGTGC